TGACGTTTGACAGCAGAAGTACCAATCACTCTGTGATTAACGTGGATGCATCTGAACAAGATTACAGAGATACAGTAACACAATGACATTACAATAAGCAGACCTAATAAAGAATCAGGAGTTCCTCAGACGAATTGTTTCCATTACCTCACTATTTCAGATGCATGCAAGTTAATCAGTGTACATGGAGAAGAAGATAAATGATACAGTGACAAATCATTTTTGAATAATCTCAAATCCTTGAAGAACCCAGACCTTACATTCCAATCAGTATTTGATCATTCCTCACCTTCACGGATTACCTAATGTTCGCAAGACTGGTCTGCCACTGAGACTAATCTTGTCTATGGTTAATTCATCATACCATGAGAATGTCGTATGGCTCTGCAGAATTCTAGAACCCATGTGTCAATGGTTTACCAAATAAAGCTTGAGAGACACAGTTGAGTTCGTGAACATCATGAGGGAAAGAAACCTGAAGAGTGGGTACATGTTCTCGCTAGATGCAACGTCCTTGTTCACGAATGTACCATTCTTCGAAACGATTCATGTTATGTGCCGTTACATTGACACTGAGCGAATACTGATAGGAATATGAACGAAGGAGTTGAAGGAAGTACAGCTGAGACGCACATTAAATATTCAATTTCTAGTGGACTGGAAAATATACGGTGTTGGAACAAGAACTTAGACACATGGGTAACATATTCTGTCTAATAGAGAACGTTTGAAAATCAACAGGCGTGCTCCATGTATTTATTGAGTCTCATGAGGCGATTAAATTCACTTTGGTAACACGAGAAGTTGACAAATTAATAAGAGACTTCCCAGAAAAGATAACAAGTAATCAAATCGTCGAGTACACAGAAAGCAGACTTGATCAGGGCAATATACAAACATTTACAGCTTCTTTTTTCGGTGACTCATCAACTGCCTAATACGTCACATTTTATATCACATCACTTCAATGTGTCGCTGGTATAGTCCGGGAATTTACAGATTCGTTTCAATTGAACAAAAAAAATTTCATTCATAGTTTAGGATCACAAGCACGCAAAATCTGCTCTGGCACTGCGCTAAATGAAGAACTGACAAAAAACAAAGACGTTCTGTGAGAAAACGGTTATCTGAACCTGTTTGTCGAGAAAAACTTTCGGCAGAGACCACTGTTCTAACTGGACAACGAGGATCAGAGGAAGAAACTATTCCTCCGTTCATCTTTTCACGGAAATGCTGTGTTCATTGGCTCGCACTTAATCGGGGCCAGCCAACACCGGTCACTGCGATAGTGGTACACACTTCAGGTGTGATTGTAATTCAGCATAAGTCGGCGTACCGCGGGGCAACTATCCCCAAGGAAAATTAGAGGCACATGGATCATCACGTGGAACAGTAGTCCCCGCTGCTGGTACCCCTATTCCCCCGAGGCAGCGCGCTAACACATACAGTGCGATTGCTCCATCGTTTCACATTGTCTTATATCCATCTCACCTGTGACCTTAAACAACTAAATTCCCTCTGACCCGTAATGCCATCTGATTAGATAATTTTTCGCGATTTACGGCACTTGGAATCCCTCATCCCAACACGAAACTGTCGGATCACCGGCTTGTACATCTTGTAATGCTCTTGTTGTCACGTCCACTCCATCCGTGTGCTGATGGCACTCCTGCTACATAGTCGAAGTTCAGTGGGCGTGCCTGACACTCACAGCTGTAAGCAAAGTGTGGTTTCTCGCTCGGGTTAGCTGGACAAGCACCAGGTCCCTTGTTGCGGCTGAACCATTCGACCGTTCGATAAATGAACCCGATCGGTCGTGTGATCTTCTGGTCGGTATAAGAGGAGGCTAAGTTCTGAATCGGATGCTGCTTAAGTGTTGGTAAAGTATCACCACAGGAGAATAAGTTGGGGAATGATGCGTCATGTGGGAAATTCGGAATAGAAAAAGTTCAAACGATGATGCCACTGAGCCAACGCTTGACTCGTCCAAGATACACGCACTATTTTTCTGAGCGGGTTGGGTAAACAAACAATCATGATACAACTTTGAACTTGTCTTGAGTACGGACTACAAGACTCCTTTTATCGGTGCTTAAGGATGATAAAAATCAAGATAGTAAATGACAAATAAAGCTATGTAAATCGGAATTCCTTAGCGCTGAAATTGCTATTTCTGGTCGTACTAACCAATAAGTTTTACTGGTTTGTTTGACATTTCCAAATAATATTCGGGTAGGCCAGGGAAGCTTTACCGCTTGCAAAAATTGTTTTTGGGCACACAGAGGGGGGGGTTGTGCAGTTCAAGTTTAACGATGAGATCTATCGACAAAAGGATGGCGTAAACATGGGGTCTCCGCTGGGACCGATTTTCGCGGATTTATTCATGGCGAAGCTTGAAAACACTGAATTACAATCATCCATCGAAGACTGTGTACTATACACACGGTACGTAGATGACATTTATTGTGTGATCGGTGCAAAATCGAATACAACGGAACTATTAAACAGGTACAACAATGCGCTTCCCAACATAACATTTACTTTAGAAATGGAGTGCAACCACAAATTGCCGTTTCTAGATGTCTGCATCGACCGTCGATCAGATGGTTCGGTGCAGCGTTCCGTGCATAGAAAGGCAACGTGGAAAGACCAATACATTCATTTCCGAAGCTTTGTTCCACTGAAGATAAAAAGGAACCTGGTCCGCTGTCTAGCGAATGGGGCAAGAAAGATCTGTAATGAGAACACGCTAGAAGAAGAGCTCTGTACTGTAAAATCGATCTTTGCACATAACGGATATCCGGAGCGTTTAGTCAACAAGATGATTCAGTGCACGGAAAACTCTGTACAAAACACCGAGGTTAAGAAAAATCCGTGTACATTTCTTCACCGTTCAAAGGGGACACATCAGCCGAGATCATATAAAGAAGATTATCCGACGCAATCGATAGGACTTTCTATGCATCTAAGCTTCGTGTGTTGGTTGTTCACGTCCAAGCCAATTGTGTGTTTGCGACTGAAGGATAAAGTTCCAGACTCTGTGTATTCTTATTTACTTGTTCCTATGGGACAACGTACATAGGCCTCACGGTTAGGCGATTGTCCGAACGGATTCGTGAACACCACCCCGCGTGGCTGAACACCGGAACGATTAAGTCACTCACCAGTGCAGTGGTTTCACACCTAACTGAAACAAATCACACCGTGAACGTGTGCGAGGCTTTCCGACCCCTGTACAAAGTTCGTGGGCGACTATCGAGGCAGGTTCACTGTCGGATGTTGGCTAAGTCAGAAGCGGTGGGCATTCGTCTGCACAATCCCCCGCTGTGTGCCCAAAAACAATTTGTGCCAACGCTAAAGCTTCCCTGGCCCACCCTCCATACAAACCGCATCGTGAGTAACCTCGATGATCGGATGAGTGGACAAACAAACATGTGATCGTGGTGAACCCGATTTCCGGTCTCACGATAAAATCGTTTCTAGTAATCTGTTTTTATTTTATTTTATTTTCCCATGACAATTTTATTCCCAAATAGTGATATATATTGAGATGTAGTGGCATAAATACGAATCTCTGAAAACGAGCTTGTTCGCCACTCTGTTGTTTTGTTTGAAATGTGCTCTGTGGGATTATTTCAACAATATTCGGGTAGATAAATGCCAATTCCAAGTTGATAATTCACAACTATCTAATAAGACGTTTAACCAAGAAGACCGAAAGAGGGGCTAAATAGGTGAAAACCATTTTTCAACAATCTTGGCTGTATTTTCAAGTGGTTCCGATAATCAGGTTTCCGCAGTAGTCAATAGTCCAAGAATTGGTGCCGGTTCTCACAATCAAAGGATTGATCTTCTCCATGACCCTTTTATACTTTTCCTCGTTGGTTGCACTAGGGTGTACAATTATCATCTGCTAAAAAATAGTCCAACATAATCAGTTTGAGGAAATCCATTACCCGGGGTCTTCATTCAACCAAGCCTGGTAATGGACTGACTGCTATAGTCATTTATTCACAATTCATTCGCTTTTTTCCAAGTCAAATTTTTTATCACGAAAATTTCTTACATGCTCCTGCTCATCTCGTCCCAAAGGGTAGAATCGTAGTCGAATGTTGTCGTGATTACAATGAGAAATGTCATATGTAGTTCCGGGTATCAGAATACCGCATGATATAACCTTATTCCACTGTTGTATATAGTTTCATTAGGGTTGAAACTTTTCATTAAGTTTCAAAGGGGAAATCCGTCCTGTATATTGCAAATGAAGCGTGAACTGAAAAGCTAGGAAGTACTGAACAATTGTTTCAACCTGACTGGTTCTCATCGGCAGTGCAAATCCATCGACCAAAATGGGGATCGAACCCGGGACCTCATGGGCAGAACGTAAGCATGCTACCCACTCTCAACTTAAAAAGTTCAACACTTGAAATAAGATCGATGTGCGATCAGTGAGTACTCCAGGTGGTGAGTACTCTGATGGGAAGTTTGTGACCAGCATTTCCTTCAACAGTTTGAGTCCGTTAATTTGAATAGATGTCTCCTGAGGTAGAAGTTGGGTGACAATGTTAGCAGCAAAAAGTTTAGTTGGTTTGGGTTCTGCAGTAGCTGATACAGGAAAAACCAAGCTCCTCAAATTCAACGGTATTGGGTGGAACGTAATCCCAGTGAAAATAGNTAGCTGTTCCGTGTTGACGGTTGGAATCACTTCAGTGAAAAAAGTCAGTGCAACCGGCTCGAGATAGGTCATCTTATAACATCATAATGATATCAGTTGTGTTCAACCACCTGCAATGACGGACCGTAGTTAATCGTTCCGAAGAAAATGCCACTGGACAGACGTTAACCGTAGTTAATACGCATTAGGTAATAGTCATAGAACAATGCCAAACGAACCGCCGCAGCACACATTCATTCAATTACGAATTAATAACTTCCAGAGGCTTCATTTTAGAGTATCGACAGAAGTCGTGGGATATTGAAGCACACTTCCACTAATTCAATTATTCAAAATTTGCACTGCTTTTGTATTTCTGTCTCTTCTTGTCCGTTTTTTTAAATTTAGGTTTCAAAAGTGCCGGCGCCGCTTTAGCCCGATCAATAACTACAGAAACAATAGCATACATGGGTTTGCAACCAATCTTCGTTCCGTGTCGTAAGCTATTTAGTTCTGCCAAATCAGTCTCATCCCAAATGCTTGTGGACGCATTGTGCAATCCGATTTTTACGGATATACGAAAACAGGGCATTTCATCTGGACAATTTTTGACCATAACCGAACATGCACTAGGCCAAACGGAGTCGGACACACCAAGTCGCGTTGATTTAATTCCCCAACGGGGCCGGATATCTCGTAATTCATCCCACCACTCGGAAAGATCAAACGTTTCAAGGTATCGACTTACAGAATCTCGACACTGGCGTTCTGAACATGTTTCCTCAGACGGCGCCAATCGAGATTCCATGGACACGAGTAACATTCGACCGCATGCGGCTCCCGTTTCTAAAATAGATAATAATTGGTGGCGTCATCTGGGCTATGGCAGATCACATATAAACCTGGAAAACACGACGGAATTCTATCAGCAGTTCAGTGAACGTTTCACTGCAGATTTTCCGACTACTCCGGCATTTCTGATCGGGCGCCTGCAAACAGCTTTGCTGAGAGCAGTGAATGTGTACACTCACGAGGTTCGTACCAGTCGTCTGCGACTATTTTGTTCTTTGGGGAGATTTGTTTTTCCACTCTAAACCAACGTTCATTGGTTTTAGTTCTATCACAACATGCTCATGTGTGAAATGTGAGATGATGCCATTCCATAATAGGGCGAAATAGTACTCGCCGCTTTGTGTGTACTGGTTGAATGTGCTGACTTTACAGTACAGCTTGCGATAACGAGTAACCTCGGTGAAATTCTCTGTAATGGTGGCTGTCCAAGAACAAAAAAGGAAGCTCAGGTTAGAGGGATACTTTCTTTCTGTTGGAGCCCCAATTTACTTCGAAAGTGTACAATGACATTTTCAGCTATCTAGCAATATATATTTGAGTTTTCGGTTTCATATTTGTAAATCGATAGCTATGAGTACACAGCACTTACGCACAACTTTGTCTTCCATTACAATGTTCCTAATTATCTTTAATCAATATTTGTATTAGCGTGACCTTGAGTGTATTAGCTCGAAGGTCGAAGCTCAGAATTGGAAAGTATTTAGTGACAAGCAGTATAGAAGTTCATTCAGTCTAATGAATGATTACTGATTTACGAGTGTTCATTCTGGTCAACCAAAATATTTGAAGTAATATATCGTTTTCATGCGTTGCAAAGCAAGTATACCGATAAATGGGGCTACAAACTGTCCTCGTAAAATCTGTTATTACGAGGGGCATAAAACACATTGCGAGAAGCGTCGACCTTAAGGTGTGCGGCTCGTTGAATGGGCGCTTTGTAATTTCATCATATCCAAGCAGAATGAAGAATCAGAGTTCTTGGTAAAAAAAAAGTGAACTGGAGACGCAATTTATTCGGGAGACGCACAAATCCGAAGTCGCAGTTCCTAATTTGTACAATTGCTTTGATGTACACGAAAGTAAAAATCTGATGCATAATCAAGAGAACTTCTCCACGAAGACATCAACACGGAGGAAAAACCCAACCACATCGAGACAAAATGATGACTACTCTCGGTCGCAGCTGAGGAAGGCTACAAATGAAGCATATTGGGATCATTCTGAACGGATTAGCCGTTATCACCATCATCACCGTTCGGAAAGGGATGGCTAAATTTGAATTGCAGCCGAAGTCAGCTGATGCAAACAGCTAATGAACACCCAACAAAGGAAAGGTACGAGTAGATTTTGCCAAGAATAATGGAGAAATATAAGGGCAATGTTATCTATAAATCAAACTGCAAGGAATGCCTAAAACATTATGCCGGACAAGCGAGAAGAAAACTATTAGCAAGGATCGGAGAACATCCATTGACAGTCAGGAGGCGTGACCTACTATAACTGATTTCACTCCGTGAATATTAAGAACGTCAATTCGAATTCGAATGAATGAAAATCATCGATCATACCCGGTCAATGCACACCAGAAAATTTCTCGAGGCTTGGCACACTTCAATCAATTCAATAAAGAGACACATCGAACTGGATCACTTGTACGTCAAAGCAAATCATCGATTGAGTGAAGCAACAAACGGTCACGTAGTGACTCAGAAATGACCGAAAACCGTAATCCAGAGGGAAGAACAACCCCCAACACGGCCCCGTTGAACCGGTTCATCTGTGATCCAGATCGAACACAACGAGAACCAGGGGCAAAACTACGCGGTGGAGTTGAAAATTTATAAGCAAACGGGCATAAGCAGAACACTGGCACTTCACAAGCACTGAAGATGTTACCTCGGCTGTTGATGAAACGGTTGGAACCAAATTTCCTGCCTCGGCGAACAGGCCGAAATGAGTTTATTTCACCCGAACCGATTTTTAACACATTTCATTCTATTAATTCTTCCACTGTATCTTTGTACCACTGTTAAGTATCTTGTCAAGCATGTCTTTCTACTCCCGAAATATGTGCATTGCGTATCGTTCCAAGGAATTGATGTGATTCGAAGGAACCCTCGGCATCAATGGTATTTACTCAATAGGTCATTGAGGCCCCAGACTGAACCTACTTATGCCTTGAGCATGCTGACTGATTTATCGACCCATCTTGACACAAATCACTTGCGCACCAGGTCGATCAAGGTCAATTAACATCGGGTTCCTTCATTTCCGTTTGAAGCCCATTTGATCAACGGTCAAGGACATAACGTTGCAGTGTGGAGTGGGTGATGACAGAAGCACCAATCAATCACGGTTTGAGGTTTCTTTGAAATGCAGTTGATTGCAATTGTTTTATTTGAACCGGTAAAGGTATAGTTTTCCAAAGAAATCAATTTCAGCGGTCACAAATAGTAAATATTCGTTCCAACTGATGGGTTGGGTGGGTGAGTTCGTCAATACTTAGCTCCCGTACGGGGCAGTTTGGATAGCGCTAAATTTATTTCACTGATGAAGCAGGTTTTCGGTGACTGCCACGCTCACAATGCATTCGAAAAACGCCATAATTTTTTCAAGACGAAGCTCATTGTTACATCCCACGTATGATTTGTCATGAAAATTGTTAGATCTCTCTGGGCATTGTATTTTACATTTCTGCAGTCTGACTGTTAGAGAAATGTCTGGGAGAAAACTGTCAAATACGATTTGATCGTCAACTTGGTGAGCTTCATGTTAAAACGACTGGCCCAAATGCTCAAAAATAAAAAGAGCATTGACAATTCGAAAGAGCAATACCTGTGTCAAGCCTCAATCATTTTCACACATACATTCTTGTGATTTTTTTCTACTGAGGTTTCATTATCCAGCAATCGATGCGCCAGCAACCGTGGTCAGTATCGATAGATCATATAGTTAAGTGGTATTCGAGTAACATAGGCAACAACATAAACCGATACCATTGTGGATATGATGCATCCAATATGAGTTGATACTATGTTGAATCCCGTAAATAAGGCTCACAACGCTAGACGTTGGGGGAGGATCAGATGGAAGTCAGGGTGTCGCGCGAATTCAATCAATATCAAGTTCCAAAGTTGAAAGAAACTTCTGGTGGTGAGAAATTCAAGGCATTTGCACCTAAATTATATATATATATATATATATATAGATATATATGACAGTTTGGTAAACAACGATGTTGATTGTTGTTTTTGTA